CACTGAGTCTTTCAAACTGAGGCTCGATGAAACACTAGCACATCTTACGTTCCGACATAAGTGAAGCTGCGTAAAGCAGTGGAAAAAGCACGTATCACGTGACAGTTTACCAAAAGAATTGTATTTATCACTGTTTCTTAATCCACCGCACGAACCTATGGGACCATAAAAGCATGAGCTTGTAAGTTATTCCCATAATAAATCTTTGAATCTTTAAATTCGATAGTAGTAAGCTTGGATTAGCCCATTCGATTGTTAAGAGGCACCAGACCACACCCAAGAGCATCAAGAGTACCTGATGCCTATTAACAATCGAATGGGCTACGATAAAAATGGAACCAATAAAGTCTGAACAAAGAAAGCATACGATGAAGGACTCGTTTGATCTGATGGATAGTATTTAGAACACGAACAGAACCATTCGATTCACCTATATCTCAATCCACAAAAATCGATTATTTAATAAACTACACTTCAGGTATTTAATCTAATTTAATAAATTAAATTTATTCAGTACTGGTATCTTGAAGTAGAATTTAAATTAACTGCCTTAGTGTAGCACAAATACGCTGAAATTGAAATTCAGTGGTGCTATTTATCATTAGAGGAATGAAGTGGTAATGGATTCCTTACTAGTTTATGTTAGTGTATGTCTTCATGGCAACGCTGGAGCTCGCAAAGCTTTCATTCAACAATTAATGCTATATAAAACGATATATTGTGTTTCAAAAAGCAGGCTGATTCTACCAATTGAATGTAATTATTACTCAAAATACCCTACTATTAAGTTCACTCTATGGCGTGATTGTTCCATTGTTTCACATCGTCTTGTTGTTCTCTCAAAGCTAAACTCCCGTCTGATCCTGTCTATCATTTGATTGGTCGCATTTCTTGACTGTAGTGAAAGCGATGCCGTAGCTAGGTCTGTCCAATGCTCGAGGTATAAAAAACCACGTGGTTGGGGTATTTAAGTTATGTAAAACGTTTTGTACAACTCAAGGAAAAGAGGAACTCAGTTCAATATCTCGCCAACAGAGCGCAGAATTATATTTCTCATGCCAACTAAGCCTTCTAACTAAGCGAAACTCCAGATTAATTTGAGTAGATAAACATGAGAGAAACTGTTAGATTAAAATGAATCCGGTTATAATAAAAATGCTGTTCACGGTTGATATTAGGATGGTGATTTTTACTCGAACGGTAACCGCTGCTATTCGGTCAAACATTCTATGCAGATACACGCCATGTGATATTCGCTGCCAGACCAGCCATCAAGCTGCAAATGAAAGATGCAGTTCTTGTTTCTGCGAACTTATTCTTCGTGTACTCTTTCATTGGTTTCTGTGGAACATCACACATTGGTCACAAGGGCAAACGCTTGACTCAACTGTTTTGCGAACATCATCTGGCTTAGTTGCGCCTTGCTGGATTCACGAACTCTGTACAGGCGCACACACCCTGTCCAATTAGATCACTTAACTAGATTGACTAGTGCCTTTGGCCTCCTCATACAGGTTCGTGAACAACAACCTAGATGGGATGAATATCGTTCCCTAACCACAGTCGAGGCAATGACTACATACATTCACACACACAGATATGCACAAAAACAATTTATATTCTCCATGGCTCAACAACCCCTTCTCTCACTCGCTCCTATTACTTTTTGTCATATTCGGAACAGATACCAAACCGGAATTACAAGATATTATCTAGCTTTCCAACTGAATTCTTCCGTGTGTATGCGTGTGTGTGTGTGTGGAAATATCCCCTCTGTCGCCCTAGTCATATAGACTGCGATGTATTAGCCATAGAATCCAAAACAGTCTTCTTCGTAACACTACGTTTTATTCAAAGTATCTACCTATATTGACCGAAATGTGTGATCATAAGTTCACTTCACTGATCTAAATTTGTACCGTAATGATAATCAGGGCTGATTTACTCCTTACTTTCTTTTTTGCTCTCTGTTTTTTTTCAATTTATTTCAGGAAAAAAAACACGTTTTTATATTGTATCCCGCATTACAATTTCACAAATCATTTAAGTGCCCGGCGATGACAGCTCCATACAAGCAGTCTGTAATGATGCTACCTAGATTGCTTGTGGCTCCACCTTTTATTTATTCTACAACACGGACTTTTGCCATCCTTCATTAAATGTCCAGATTCAGATCACACTTTTGCAAAAGACGGATCAACGCTGGACGTCCAACTCCGTGTGGAAATCCCCAGTCGTTCACCATCTCCTGGTGTACTGGCCTCTTCTAGCTCGATGGATCCCATACGTGCTCAGCACAGTGTTGAAAGTGCCCATTATGATCCGGACTCTGGCTATTCAACTCGAACCAGACAAATGACCGGGCCACTCTCCCAAACACGTCTATCTAACAAAGATTCACCGGAAATTTTGAGTGAACCGTATTGGGATAACGAAACGAGTACCGATCAGCAAGCTGTTGTTCGACCCCTGTATCGGAGTGCTTCAGACTCGGAAATTTTGTACGCCGGAAGTGAGAAAGTGAGTTCAGTTAAGCAAAACTCTCGGAAACTTGTTATTATCTGATCAATTGAAATAAAGTCACTGAGTTTATTTGAGGACCAATAAAGAATGAGCATTGTTTTTCCCTTTTTTCAAAAATCAGATACTCCATTCCCACTGAGTATTCAATTTTACGGGGTAGCTCTGGGTAAATAAAATTGAATTTGTACACTGCTTTATCCCTAGTCATTTATTGCTCACTGATTTTGCCCAGCAGTTTCCGGTGCTGTTCTAATTGCAAGTTATGAAGAACAACCCGTGTAGACTCTTGATTCAGCGCTCAACAGATGAACAATGGATGGGCATGTTTGAGGGCTTTGTCACTCCATGCACAATCAAATCAGGTCAGGTCAAAAAATGAATTGTACAACTGAAGCAAAAACTATCACCAGTCTAATCTAAGTTGTACAGCGGAGATATATCTAGAACAAAAAATAACTTAATTTGAAATTGTATTACAGGAAAGATTCGAGTGCAAAAAATCTTAACTCAAGGTAGGCTACTTAGATCGTATGATTAACTAATAGATAGATAAATTGCGGGAAATTATTCGCTATATATTGGATATATGTGTACAATGGAGGGAATTTAAAACGGTTTTAATAATTTTGAATGCAAATAGCGCTCTTCATTAATAGCTATCATACCACTAAACCTATCAAAAACGTCAAAAAATCACCAGAAACAGTTCTATCAATGTCACTATACCGGGACATCCGATCAGGGAATCTATGTCCTACAAACCGGGAACGAAAATGTGGAAAAGATCACAAATTTAAGAATAATGTTCGTTAGGGAACGGTTATTTTCGTGAATCTGTTTGCATAAAAGTACAGTCTGAGAACTTTAATGGAAACGTTTTCGATACGAGCGGACCACGAAAGGTAACTAGGGAGCGTGGTTTAGCAATGATGATTAACAACAAGATTGAGGAAACTATAAAAAAAAGAAGAGAACAGCATTGGACTTGAAAGCTAAAAGTAACATCAATATTAAATGACAAAATAAGCCAATTGTTCTAATGAGAACACAGATCCCAGACACACATATGTTTTCGATGAGCTCATTTTCCAGCCATTACAATCACATTTATGTAAAACGATGCATAGAGGTTAAATAGTCGAGGTTACTAAATGATGGCAAAGAGGTGAATAGGGATTTTTTTATTACATCAAAGTCTAAACCGATAACAAGCTGCAACTAATGATGATTTGAACCGTTCTAAATCTTCAACCGACCAACCGATCTACTTGCACCTATTAACGGAATTTTCTACTCGGGTAGCAACAGAATTATCACGTTTTGGGAAGATACTGTTAGAAAACCGTTATCACGAAACGTTTATTCCTTGTAACTGGTCTGAATGAAGAAAACCGGTACCTGTAGCTGAGAAAAAGACTAATATCGTTTAATAGAAACCCAACATCCAAAAGGGTCACTAGAGCTCTGAGTGCGGCCATAAAAAACACGTTTAATGCTGCCAAACTCAGATAGGTGTTCTTGAAATCACCCGTCATCCGTTGCCCGAAGAATGCTAAATTACCTATGTTTAACTTGTCAATGCTCATCTACCAATTCGAATGCAACTGTTTACCACTTACAAAGGTTGTACGACAGGCAGCTATCTTAACGCATCAAGGGACATCAACCCACACGGCTTATACATAGAGGGAACGAGGTTACCTCAAGTTAGATTGTTCCAGATTTGGCGGAGTCTGTGTGTCTGATAGACATAATTTCGGCTCTCATCACAAAAAATGTCCAAAGCTGTTCAGCATCAGCCGAGGAAAATATCATCTGTTTTTTAAAGTCAAAATTCCGTGCACAGAAAACATTTGTTTAAGCACTCAAACCTCCCTGGCCCAAAGTGGACAAAATCATGCATGAACGCTGTGACAAAACTAATCAATCACCGATACTTATTTAACCCGTTCTTATATGAATAAGACAACTGAAAACAACACTGCCCCTCCCCTACCTCTTTCCTATCCGTAACATCAGTACACTTACTGATGTCAAAAAGTAGTACAAGGAGGCATGGATAGGATCAATCATGAATTGCGTTTAGACTCTTTTTAGAGTGAGTAGAAACTATCTGAACCGTGAGAAGAGCAACCAGTAAAACAATCTAGTTTTGGGGAATGAGAAGATTCTGTATGGATTAAGAAAGAGAAAGAATGCAGAGTACCACCTTGTA